TTTATTAGATGTAGTGTATATAAAAAAAATCCTCAGGATTTTACACTTCCTAGAATTTATAGGATTTTCTGGTTGGACATCTTATAGTAAGATGATTGCTTGATCTCAGGAACCACCATTTAAGTAAGTGCTTTTCTACATCCTGCATATACTTTTTGCTTGGTTCTTCTTATATTGTGTACCTGCCTTATTTTCATAATTTGTCTTTTTGGTACTGATTTTTAGAAAATATTTGTATTATACTGTGTGTCGAATATGAAGTAGAATAAACTCAGCTTCTAAGCTAGGTAGCTAATGTTAATGACACTTGATCCAACTCGCAACACCTTTTAGAAACAATGAGAATAAAATAAAGGAAAAAAAACTCAACTTCTCCCCCCATACAAAACCTGGCAAAACCTGCAGGCACTATGGAGTTTGTGGTTGCCACAGGAAAGCACAAGTATCTTTGGTGAGACTGAGCTGCCAGCTAGCACTTACAAACAACGCTTGACCTTTCAGTAACATCAAAAGGAGAACTCTACTAATACGTGGTATTTCCTCTGCAGTAAGATTACATCCTGCCTTTGCAGCAAAAGAAGTTCAGACAAACTTATTTTTTTCCTTCAACTTACAGTTTTAGCTGGCAAGAAGAAATATAATTAAGACTATGCAACTTAATTTTGTGTTCAGCTTCAAGTACTTGGTTATTTCCCTCGTGGAACACTGCTCAGATTAGTGATCAAGCAAGGGCACTTGTCTTCAGTGTCAAATGTGTGTCTCCCCTGATTGCACTTCAGTCAGTTGAGCCTAATTCCTACTGATCTAGAAATAGTTATCAAGTCCTGTATGTGCAGCTCCATCTCAAGGAAGCAAAGAGAAGTTACTCATCAACACTTAGGCTTTCTGGTGAGGGAGATGATGCCCAGCCTTCATTCTCATACCACAGGTAACATTCATTATGCTTTTTGGGGGGGTGGGGTATGATTTTGAGAGTGGTAAAGCTTTTAAATTGGATATTAATAATGCTCATAACAGAGCAAAGTAGATGGCTCTTTTATAAATTATTCCACTGTATTAAAAAAAAATTAAAGCCAGATATGCTTTAAAAATAAACCATCTGCTTTAAACCAGAGTTCTTTTGAACCTTGCCTGTGAACAACCAGGCACCAATATGAGACAGGAAACTCTGGGAGAGGAAGGAGAGGTGTGAAATGTCTGGGAGTCATTAAGCAGTGCAGCAGAAATGTAGTTACCAGTTGCCAGGAATAGTAAATCCTGCTTACACAAGACTCTTTTTTTTTTCCTGATTCAGCTGGGTCTCAAGGATTTCAGTTCTGTGAATCTGTGTTCCCCAGTCCTGCAGCAGCAGCAAAATGGGATGCTCCCAGGATACCACCTTCCATTCCTGCCCCTTATGCTTCAGCCTAATTGCTGCACAGCACTGTCCAGCACAGGCAGATGCCACTTCTATTCTTTTTTGTCCCTGTAGGACATCTACAACACTGCTCCATCCCCAGGTTACCTGGCCCCAAACACGGCATCCAGGACTTCTACCCTGGAACATCAAATTAATTTTAGCGGCAGCTTGGCATGAAGCCACACTTGGCATTTAGGGGCAAATAGTAAAAAAACCCACAAAACACTTCAAACCCAAAAAATCACTTATTTGAGTGCCAGAGAAGGTGTGAGTTCTTTTGTCACAACGGTCTCTAAAAGCACAATTAAAAAGAATTCCACCAGGTTAGTAACCAGCCTGGAGAAAATATATCAGGGTTTGAATATGTCAGTGGGAAGCTGCAGCATGTGTCCCCAGCAAGGGAGGAGTGCTCCAGCTGCCTCACCCTCTGCTGCCCTGCATTCCCAGATCAGGGCACATAAAGGATGTACTGCACTGCCTGTGGCAGCATGGAAACACAAACGGGGCCCTCCTGTGCTGGGGGAAGGTGGTTCTTCACTGACTGGGAGAAAGTGGCAGTACACAAAATAGGTGGAGATGTGTCCCTTGTGGGAGTGGAGATGTGTCCCTTGTGGGACAGCAAGGAATCCTTTTGCGTCTAGGTGTGTTTTGTGCTCAGGACTTATTTCCATGTGTTGTGAGGCAGCTCTTTTGAATGTATTACATCTGTAATTGGAATGACAGAAGCTCCTTAGTGATTTGTAACTTGGAAATAAAGAGGAAGGTGCGGTACAATTTCAGACTGCAGCAAGACAAGAGTTTGTTAAAGTAGTGAAATACACTGTATTACAGAGTGTCCTTTGCTAGCTTACCGAATGAGAGCCAGAACAAGGATCAGGATCTGATCAGTAAGATGCAAGACCAGCAATCAGTAAAGTTCACAGGGCGTGAAAACTTTTTGCATCTGTTCTTGAAGCCCAGCAGCATCTCATCTTAATCTAATACATATCTCAAGTGAAAGCCTTTCCTCATCACTGTTAGAAGTTTAGACTAGATTTTATTTGGAATCAGGGGATTGTTAAAAATATTAAGGACTGTAACTACGTAAGAAGCAGTGTAACACTTCCCTTTTCCCTCTTCCAATGCTGCTAATTTTAACTACTCAGTCAGAAATATTCTGTATCAAAATACTGCCTGAATCTGTACTGACTTGTATTTCTGCCAAAACTCGGCAAATGGTTTTGAAAAACAAAACAGGAAAGGAGCTACATTTAGGGGGAATTAGGGCAAAAACATCTACATCAGCCAGAAAGAAATAAACTGAAATTTCTCACAAAATTGAGAGTCAAAGAGATTATGAGGAAGATGGTGAGAATAACCAGTTAGTGAATTCCATATGACATTCACAGTGGTGCTATGGAGTTACATCTGGCAGATGGAAAGAAAACTTTGCTTTTGGACAGCCATTTCAAGAACCAAGGTAAGAGTAAGACAAAGCAACACTTAAAAAAATGTTTGCTTGATGCAAGTCTTGAAAATTCAAGACTTCGACATTAGGCCCAAGTAAGAACAGTCCTACAATTACTACTGCCCTTGCCAGGCAAAAAGCTTGTGAGACTTTTGGTCCAGATGTTTATAACCCAGCAGTCTCTTCAGGAACTGCAAAGCACAGCTTTATTCAAATGGCTCAGCACTGCTGTCAGCACAATCTGTGACTTGGTAACTCAGGCCTGAGGAGGGTTTGTGAGGTCTGACAGGCTACCTCAGCTGGTCTAGCACAGCAACCCCGGAAAGTCTTCTGCATTTTAACATCAAGATTTAAAAACAAGGCCTCTGATTGTTTTTAAATACCTCTAATTATCAGCAGTAGTTACATGTACCTGCACACTGCAGCAGGTTTGGAAGTAGATGATTTTTAAGGTCACTTCTAACCCAGGACATCCTAAGATTCTATGATATGGAAAGACACAGCTGCACCTGGCAGAACTCATTCTGTGCTTGACAATTCTTTACCTACTAGTTCAGCACAGAGTGCAGCTGGATCTGCTGAGCTCATTACTGTTATAACTTATTGCTCACATGTATCTCAAATTACAGGACAAACTGAAAACCAGAAAATTCCAAGTAAGCAGGAGAACTTTATTTTCCTATGACGGTGGTATGGGCTTACAACAGCAGCATACACTTGGTTTTGTATTTACCAACCTCACCCATGCTGGGATTCTGTGATTCCCTATTTCATGTTTTATTGAAAATTTATGGGAAAATTTAAAAACAAGACTTTAAATGGCCTTTGCAGTAAGTAAATATATTGCCTCAAAGAGCACCTGCAAAAGTACCATCTTCAAATTCTTATCCTTATTTGATGTTTTAAAATTGATACACCTCAGCTCTCACCTGAGTCATACTCTGTCACAGTTCTACCTTTGCAACATTAACTGCAGACAAAGACACCTGGGGACACACACAGCACACCTACATCATATGGCCCTCACTCGTCTTCTCCGTGTAATCCTGATTTAACAACTGGCTTCAATGGGACCTGGTAACAGATACAGACCTTCAAATCTGTCTCTCTATCAGCATGTGGCTGAACAAACAGGCACAGAAGTGCTTTTTAAAATAAAGCTCTGAGCTCTCCCTTTGAATTTGAAGTACAATGTCTTCCAAGGTATTTTTAGGAAAAAACGTGTGAAGAGCAAGTGAATGAAAACCAAATGTACACAGATTTTTAAAATCTTGCCTTATGAACAGAGTATAAATCTTACCATGCTAAAAATATGTACCTAACATTACACCTCCATATGCCAACTTCGTTGTACCCAAAGCAAGCTCTCTAGGGATCAGTTTACAGCCACGAAGGTAAGATGGCAGTGCTTATGAGTTGCTTGGATTTATTTGAAGAAGCACAAGAAAGCATGTGGAGCAAACTTGGCAAATACTAAGAGGATCCCCAAATCCAAATGTTACAGCAAATGAGAGTTCACTGTCTCGTATCAGTACAATGGCAAGGGCACATGCTCCTCTGGGCACTACACCAGCAAACCAAACCATCTAAAAACAGGGCCCAGGTGCAGCTGTGCAAGCACAAGTAAGTGGTTAATGTGCATGCCAGAGCAGCTCATCTCAAGTGACACTCAGCTTTCACTAATGATCCTTTATTTTTGTCTCCTGAAGGCACTGAGGGGTTTTGCTGGTCTGCAAAAGAATTGGTCAATTTTCCTGTCAGTCCTACTCTCAATCTGAATATACTGTGAGATCTTGTGCCTAGTGAACCATGCAGAGTGTCAAGGCTATTTCAAACACTGACTCCTCTGCAATGAGCAGCATTCTGCTTAAAAATGTTTGAATGAGACTATAATATTTTTTTATTTACAGCCGGGCAATATTTTAACCCAGTACTTTTTAAGATGAAGGCTGATGCGATGTCATGCACCAAATATCAAGTTTGTGTTTCTGTAATTCAATCAAGGACAACTTGTTGGGCTGTTCCCATTTGCTTTCATATACCAACAAAAAGAAATCCCACAGCAGCACTGAGAAAGATGATGAGAATTGCGACTTATAAACTCTTTCACGCTTTCTCAACTTGTCGCTAAAAGAATAACATCTAAACAAAATATTCAGATACAATGTAATAAGTTTCTTTATTTTTTTAAATCCAATTTGTAAAGGTCCCTTTTTAAACAAAACAAGAACAAAAAAATCAACACAATTCAGAGGGCTTATCTCATTTACCATACTCTTCCCCACTCTTCACTTTAACACAAGCAGCAACTTATAGTATTAGTGCTCATATAGTGCACTTATATGAATTTTGATTTGTGTATTAAGCATTAAATACAATGTATTTTCTGTGAGCATAGCCCAAAGAGTACACAACGTTACATTTTCAAAGTATATGTTTAAAAAAAAGACAATAAATGTATATCCAAGACAGTCAAACTCAAATATTTTGACTTGGCAAATTCTATAACGAGTAACAGCAATTTTAAACTGTGTACAAAGCAGAACAGTGCCAACATGCCTCCAGTCTGTGAGCTATGGTAAAACATCAAGCACACATACAAAGGAGAGAAGCCAAAGAAACCCACCACAGAGCTAACCTGAGGCACACCCAACTGCAACCAAACAAAGGCAGCCCACTTTCCCACTCTGTAATGCAAAGATCCCAACAGCAACAAAAAGCACTTCTACACTACAGAAAGTGAAACAGCAACTTCTTCCAAAATTGCCTCCGCATTTTTAAACACATTGTTCAAAAAATTTAAAGATGAACATCTAATTATACCAAACAAATGTACAAACTATAAAGTCAGAGAAGCTCCAGAAGATTGCCACTTTCAACCTTGCATAGTGAGAGCTGGCATTGATATTGCTACCATAGCTTCAGCAGAAGATACAGGAAAGAAAAATCTTTACCTCTAAGTGATGCACATACGTAGCATTTTCTTCACAAAATTCAGTTAAACATTGTTTTAATAAAATGGAAAACAGCTCTAAAAAGGGAAAGATAGTGTTCACAAGCTTAGAAAAAAAATACAAAACCAGAACATTCCATAATAAAAAATTTGAAACAATAAACATTCCATCATGACAGCACCTATTTTATCACTAAATAAGCCCCATACATGCAACAAACTACAACTATTGTATAAGGCTGTCAAATTAAAGGTTTACTTTTCATATAAACAAAGTGTAAAAATAGCAACAAGTTGCAATCTTCAAATTTAATGCTATGTGAGGATTCTGTCTCCCCAGTTTCATTTGGTAGCAATTTCAATATGTGTTTGATATAAATGTCATTCATCTAGGAACCGTGGTACAAATACATTGTGCCTAGGACAGTATTGTCGTATCTCTGTTCGACCTTGACAGAATTGGAATGCTCAACAACACTACTGAGTTCAGGGATGCTTTCAGCAGTATCCCCAAAACCATGATAGTGTCCATAGTGCAAAGTGTCTCCAGGGTCTTCCACCCATGAGGGCCGGTTAGAAACACAGCTACTCGGGCTTCCATTCAGGTGGAGAGATCCACACATGTCGGTGGAATTACTCATGGCTTTTTCCGGTTCCTCTGTGCCGTTACTGGTATGAATTCGATGCCTACTGGGAGAAGTGACTCCAGGAATTACTCCGTTAGGTGTTAATGCTAAGCACTCCTCACGCCTGGCATCCATCCCACTGAGCTGTTGTGCAGCGGTGAAATCCAAGTGTCCATTGATGGCACATCCATTTGTCAGTGCATTCAATATGGAGCTACTGCTATTCATATCTGCATTTAAGAAATACACCTGTCACCAACAATTAAGAATAAATCGAAATACATCAAAACGTCTCCACTATACTTCACTTACTTAAAAATGTTTCCATACACAGCTCTGAAAAATAAATCTATCCTTTCTTTATAACAGTGTAGGTAGTTCCAAGTAATGAGGTCTGACCAGTAAGTTTCTTAGTTGAAAATGCAACTTTTTTATCCACATTTGTTTTGAAAATATGCCTATATTAATCTTTGCAAAGACAATATGAACTTTTCAGATTTTTTTTTTTCATTTAACTGTATGAAATAAGTGTGGCAGACAACATTCTGGGCTGTGTTTTCAAGGGTGGAATAAAAATGATATTTTCATCTTAATTGTAATGCCCTCTTGGGATGGAAGATGATGTACATACAAGAACTGAGTATCTGTGAGAGGGTGAAGGGTGGTTTTTTTTTCCATTGTTCAGCTGTAATTTAACTGTGGCTTTTTTTTTTTCTTTTTAGTTGTAACTCTCACAGTACAGTATGCACTGAAGTAAATCAAATAAAGAAATGTTACATTGGGATGCTAATATGAAATGCTTCCAAGTTCCCTTATTCAAAAAGTAACTCAATGTACCTAGCAGCTTGCTAGAAAACATATTGGGCAAGTTTGTATTTATTGCTATGTTTATAACAGCATGTGTACAATCCACATGCAAAATGCCATACAATAGCAACAGCAGAGTGCACAGAAGACTGAAAAGTAGTAGTAGGAAACAAAATTCTAAAAATGTGCATGCAAAAGTCACTGACAACTGTTTTGAAGCAATTTCCCCTTTGAAGTTAGTAATTGGTACAGTAGGTTTTGTTTCCATGAACAGATTTCATCAGTCTGTCTGAAATGCATGTTTTTGCAGTGGTACTCAAAAGTACTAGCACAAAAAATGCATGATATATTCTGCCTTTAAAATATAATTTATGTCTATATTGGTAAAGATGAGCAAGGCAGACATAGCAACTACAGAGCTATGTGGTGACATTTAAAGATTTTACATTCTGTGACTATCTTTGGATACATGCACATATGTTTATGCCTCCATGAACGCACAAACCCATGTGCAAAACACGATTGCATTTACTGCGTGTATGCAAATTAATTCCGTTAATTTAGTCTGTTGGCAACTTCCCACATTTGTAAAACACTGGGTTCCCATTTAAGTGACACATAATGAGTACCACTGTCTGACAAGGAAGAATCTGGAGTTTTCGTTCTCTCGCAGTTTTTGCATGACTGTTATTTGAAGTACAACACTGACACTTCACAGACACCAATATTTTGCACAAGAAATGTGTCCAATTTGTAACTCCCTGGATGTACTCACTGGAGATTCCGTTTTAGTCCCTACATCAGGTAAAATAATCACATCAGCTGAACTCACTGATCATGAATTCTCATTAAAAGTGGAAAAAAACCCCACAAGCCCATCAAGACATCAAAGTTAATACTTCAGTGATGAAAACGCACAGAAGGAGTTTCATATAGTGTTTATTAACTGAAAAGTGCAAAATTTTAACTGTTTAAAAGTAAACCATTATAGGCTGGTTTTGCCAAATCAAATTTAATAAATCTGGCACTTCTATTAGTTAATATGCAAAAGTAGGAAATGAATTGTTCTAGTGATAATTATAGAATGTTATTATTGGTGAAAAATGAGCACCTATAGTAATACAGTAATAGACCATATTTATAAAAGAAAATAATTTTTCCATAAATAAGAACACTTGGTAATTATCACTGGAAAATATAGTCTAGCTTTAAAGTATTGATTATATATATGTTATATGTGTATATATATATATATATATATAATAAATATATATTATTTATCATTCCCTTTGTTGAATTGGATCTGTGGTACAAAGCATAAACATATTTCTGGCAGAAAAAACTGATAAATAAATTAATTTCTGAATGTAATAATGCACTATTGTCGTAACTCCGTGTCTTAACCTACAAAATGCAAAAAGGCTGACCCAAGACAGTTTTAATCAAACTCTATACACATCCTGTTACCAAAAGCATCTTGATTAAGCAGTCCCTAAAAAAATCTAGAGCATTAATATCGACCAATCCTAGTAACATTTTGACTGTTTCATGACAATTGGTACAAAACACAAAATCTGTTTCACCAGTTACACTACTTCCAAATAGTAGATTAAAACTGTGATGGCTGATGTTCTATTTATATAAAAAACACCACAGCAGGATCCTGCACTGTGTCTGATTAAGTTCTGAACACAGGGCGTTTGTCTAGACTATTCTCTATAGTATTTATTGTACTATTCTGAATATAGTTTTGTCACTACATCTTATTTTCAAAGCTAGAATATGTTTCCCTATCAAGTCTTCTTACTATCTACTCAATCAAAATTAAACAAATAATTTATTTCTGAATTTCCTTTAACTCAAAATTATAGCAACTAGAAGCAAGGCACAATGTAATACAAGCCTCAGGTTAAAGGTTGAACAGCCATCACGGACTTCTGTTTACTTGAAATATTAAGAAATTACTAATAAACCTTCTCTTTCACCATTACAGTACATTGCATGAAACAGCTAATTTTTGATACCTACTAAACCCCCAATATAAAGGGTATTACAGGAATACAATAGTTTTCAAGACTCCAGACAACAATGTGCAAAAATAAAGGACTAAGTTTTATACTTAAATTAAAAATAGTACGCATATTGATTCTTGCAACGACAAGGTGTTTGCATTGCAGAAACAGTATATATTTCAATTTCTTTTGGTCCAACAGAAGTACTCTCCTGTTGTTTGGTGTCTTCAACCATTTGAATGTTGTTGTAGTTAACAGGAAACTGTCCACTCCCACCTGATACAACAGCAAACTCTCTATCAACGTGCATATTGTCAGCATCGTCCTCAGCTCCTCCATTCAGCATTGGTATTAAGCCATCAAAGCTGTAACCTGACAAAAAAAAGTCATGTTTAGTCATTAGTGCCTACTTGAAAACTCACCCAACAAAAAGATGAGTACTTTGATTACTAAAGCAAAACAGAAAATTACCAGGGTACCCATTAAACTCTGCATATAAAGTTACTAGTCTGATGTACAAAAAGTGAATGAAGAGAAATTTAAAATTTACTCATATTCAGGCTTTACAGGAGATGTGCCCAACTCATATTTGTCTACTGTCAGTTCAGACTGCTCCCTTTTTCACTCTTAAGAGCCAGCTCCCAGTAACCCACCCTTATCCATATCAGACTTCTCCAGAGATCTTTCCAAGAGCTGAATAAGCAGAACTGTGTTCTGAGAGAAGCTGCCAAGTGGTTAGACTGCTGGGGGGAATGCTTTAATAAGCAAGATGGGCTTGATTTCAGTACTAGTTCTTGTACCTACCCAGAGTATTGCTCCACTCCTATCCCAGCAGGCCCTGCCCTGCTCTCACAATGACATTAACACACTTTTCTACACACACTGCACACACCCTAAATATTGTTATAAATGCCTGCTTTGGCAGACTACAATTCAGCTCCCATTCCTTGGGGCACAACCAAAATTTTCATAAAGTATTCATTTTTAAATAATCTTAAGCCCTAAGGTGTTCCAAGGCCAAAGAGATTACTGAGGGCTTCAAAGACATCAGGGCCCTTGGATGAGCAGGCTTCAAATTACCCTAAACCAGGAAGAGAAAGACTTTTTCAGTTATCTAGAGGAATATTCATGTTGGCCAATTCCAGGACCCAGTTCCAGGAATGCCCTCCATCACACCTCACACAGAATACCAAAGCATCTGTGCCGAGGCTCGTGACACCAAGGCACTGGTTGTGAGCAGCAGACACATCATAGAGCACAAGTCAGTCTGCCGAGGGCTGGACTAGAGGGGCCAGGATTACAACTGACAGGAACACAGCTGTGTGAACATTAGCCCAGTGTGCATCATCATCACCCTCTGTCGACCTTCCTGGGAAGCAGGATGAAAGTTCTGGAACTGATTTCAGAAAAATGGACATAAAATCCAGTTTATGTTTCTAAGTCAAAATGAAAAAAGATTCAGCATATATTCTGAAAGTGGTCACCAATTTACTTCTGTTCATTCTACTTGAGTAATTAGTTTCTATCATAGTGTATCATGTATCAGCGTTGCCTAATTTTGAGGTTTAAGGCTTTTTTAATACTATGCACCTGTTGGCAGATACACCTGTGTGCATACAGACAAGTAATGCCCATCCATTGCCCAGTTTAGTTATTCCAGGGCAAAGCACACCATAAGCATTTATCTTCTCTCAACTCTAGTGTCTACAGGTTCTTGTAAGGGACATCTGTTGTAGCAGTAAGTAGTTTCAAAACTGTGATTGGTCAGATTTGGGGTATGGCCATCAAAGCCTGACTTCCCGGCAAATACAGGTTGGCTTCACTCTCTGAACATCTGGAATCTCCTGTGCAAAATAGTCTTTAAAGGACAACAGACTAGTGTGGTTTCAGTAAGGGTTTAAAATTATGACAAAGTTTGGCTTCTTCTGTAAAAAGGCCAGCTAAGCACAAAGATGTACTGATAACTCATTACTTAGCTCTGTTGTTTACCAAAACGCCTCAGGAACAGTGACTCATTCTCCGTGCAAGAGACTTTTTACATCAATGCAATAGTTATTACTGATGCTGATGTCTTTGAGGGCAAACATGTCAGTTTAGAAACTGCAGCTCCCACTGCTGGGATGTATCTTTAGTTACTCCAAAAACCCTCAAGAAAAGCAGCAAAGCTTTTGTATTTGTTTGTGGAGGTCTCAAAAAGTCATACTGTTAACCATTTCAAAAATTACCTATCCTGATTGTTTTACCAACATTTCTGTAATTGCTCAGGAGCACTCGTTCACTTCAAGCACTGTCTGTTTATTTACTCAATCTAACTTAGGTACTGGGCCAACTCTGTACAGTGAAAAGTAATGCAGATACAGCACCAATCCCCCAGAATGTGGGGAAATACTGCCTATTGACTAGCTTGAAGCATATGCTGAAAGAGACAGCTGCTTAGGAACACTCAGATGGAGCAGCTCTTCAAAATGCAAGGTAAGTTAACTTGACTTCAAATAGTGCCTCCTGGTAGCAGATCAATGGACTGAAAACTTCTGCAGTTGTTATGGACATTGTGTACTGGGCAAGTTTTCTTACTCTATATAGCTACTTAGCAAATACTTATTCCTGAAGTCTTGTTCTCCAGAATGAAATTTATCATTTAGACTAGCTACAGGAAGCAACATATCCTGTTTATGACTGGCCACAGAGTACCCAGTTAAGGTGTCTGATCCTCGTATAGGTGAAGTGGTGTTTGGATAGCAAGTACTGAACAAATACTAGTGTTGATACCGATGTGATTTATGTCATATTTACAAACATGGTTTAGGTCTCAATTCCCCCCTTGCTATCTGGAATTAAGCACTGTTTAAGTCCATTCTATTTGGCTCACTCAAAGTCACGTATGTTAGAACACCAACTTTAACTGAACAAACTGTCTTCAATGAAGACCTATAAAGTCCTTTTCCTGATGCTAAAAAGAAAAGCATCCTTTAGCATTATCAGGAAAAGGGTGGTCTGAGTGCAGAATAACTCCCTTGTGTTTAGTCAGAATTTAGTGGAATGACTAATAGAAAGGAAGAAGATAATTCTCCTCAATCATGTTACTCAAGTTGTTTCTAAAAAAAGATTTCAACACAGAGCTACCAAAAAGTATCTTTAGGTTGCACTATTCCATCGTTGCTGGCAAAGCAGCAGTATCCTCAACATACAAGGCTGGAAAGGAAATCTTAAGGTCCATTCTGGACTTATATCCTGGTTTAAAATAGCAGGTCCCCTTGGAAAACAATCCTGGAAACCTAGGGTATGTTAATTTACAGACATAACCCCTCTTGATTTGGGAGACCCTCTGCATTCAGTTTCTTCCATCCACCTTACATAGCGGTTTCTGAACTGTGAATTAATCCCTGAATGGAAAATTACCATCAGAACATCAAGGCATCTCTGTGAATCAACTCATTGTTACTTGGCCCTCCTGAAGCTGAAGAAACTGAGGAAGGAGTAGAAGCTAATTTCAGCTCCTACTCCTCTGCATAATTATCCTCAGTATCATGCAGCTTTAGCACTCTCTGGAAATAGAAATTTCTGAACACGCCAAGATGATGATAGGAAGAACTGGGATCTTGCAGCATGAAATAATTGTATTAATCTGCTTCTTGTATTAATATGCAATTTAGATATGTGAGTTTGTCAATAATACTCAACATCCACTCCAGAAGACTTTAAAACGTTTATTTTCCTTTCTCCGCAACAGTATCAACCCATCCCTTTTACCTCTGGGGTCTCACCTTCTGTTCTAGCCTTCTTTACTCCAGCAGACTCCGTATCTTCAAAGGATCTCTTTCGACTTGTCCCACCACTGAATGGATTGGGACCTGCATTCTGATGAACCCCATTTAAGGTGCCATTGCTATAGAAACGATTCAGGTGACAGTTCTGGAGGTTCAAGAGAAACTGGGCACATTCTTGGAAGCCCTGGGTATGTGCAAGGTCTGCTGCTGTCAGGCCACTGGCATTTCTCAAGCTGTACAATACAAATAAACTGGATTACACTCATTCATCAGGCTAGCTGGCTGCTGCTGCTGCCCTTACTGACTATCTATCTGCTGGTGATGAGAGAAAACATACACTTAGCAAATTTTCCATTAAGAAATTAGTTATCAATCTTAGTTTTATAACTATCTTAACTTTTTGCACATATATCTCACTTCTAAGCAAAATTTGGGAGACAATACACTTTAAAATAAAATCAATATACTATGTGCCTTAAACCATCTTCCTATTTAAACTTCTCAAAATGCTTTATTCTAAAATAGTCTGAAGTAGCTGATCTTTACATAAACTTCAGACTAATTTAAGTGTTGAATTTTACCATCTTCTGCAGTTTACTCTGCAATCTATTGCTTTAACTTGAGCAAAAGTTCAAATACTCAAAACAAACTTAACATGACTTGGTAATTGTCCATGGCATTCTGGTTTCTAAGGTAACAACAACATCACTATTTTTCCTAACAACAAAATATATACATATATAGTAAAAGATAGATAGAGAAAGATGCTATACTTAGTTATGCTTTGCTTATACTTTTGTTTCTGGTTTGTTTCTCATTTCAAAGTGTGTGACATCATAAGTACTAGAAGGTACTTTGGTAATTTCAACCAAGACTTTTCTGTGCAGAAGAAAATGGCACTGGATTTTGCATATTCTAGCGCATCAAAGAGGTTAGGAATGAAATCAGGGAGAAGACACAGAAATGTAAAGGCTTAATGTGAAAAAGTGCTGTATCACATGCAATGTATGCATTTACACAAACACACAGGATGTCTTATGCTTAGCAATTTAGGCTAACTTCATCAGCAAGAGCACAGAAGTGGAGACAAGAAGGCCAGGAATGACAAAACTAGATGGTGATGCAAAAGATGCCAACTAATCTTTCCTAAGACAGATGTAACTAGTCAGAAAAATGGAATTTTTGTTTCTTGGCTTCAGTCATTTAGACAAGTCAATTACTTAAAAATCCAGAAACAGATCAGCTAACAGATTAAGAATTCACAAGATTAATAGACCTGATTCTCTTGAAACTCCAGCTCATGAGAAGAAATCAAAGAACAAAGCCCAAATTTGATTTCTAGATCACTGTAACTTACTTTCAGTAAGAAAACCTTTAGAAACTGACTATTGCAGCAAGACTATTTCCATGAATGGATAAGCCAAAATACTACAGAATCACAAATCCCATAACCTAAACCAGGCTTCATTTCATTCCATACTACACTATTATAAGCCACTATTTACTTGCACTACTAGTGAAAATCCACAGAACAGCAGTCAAAAGTGATCTAGAAAGTAAGACTTCGGAATACTGATAAACCTAGTTAGTCAAAAGAAACTAAACTTGGAAGTGGCATTAGTTTTGAATACATACAAGAGAGTTGCAAAGTGATTAATCTGTTCTGTGCATCTAGTGTAGGCAGTATATGAATGGGATTAATATGAACAAAGGATAATTAAAGCTAATATCAGGAGAAAGTTTTAGACTATAAAGGATGCTGAATCTTGAGAGAAGTCTCCTCTCATTTTAAGAGCTGCCCATGGTATCAGAAATTCCACTGTCAATTCTTTCCCCGGCTGAAATGTTGAATGATGACCTGTTGAAGCTGCTGCTATGTAACAGTGACACTCCTTTAGTAATTCTGATTTACTTATGCAGTGTAAGGAAGTAGAAGAATGAAACTGGAGTGAAGAAAACAGTAATCTTAACAGACCTATTCTATTCAAGAAGAAAAGCTCAGTTCTCTGATACCTTCTTAAAATTTGCGAGCCCCAAAAGAACAGTAAAAGAAATCTAACCAAGAGCAAAATAAAGTTACACAAAGATAAAAATGACAAAACAAGTATGATATTGAATGGCCACCTAATTTAACAGAAGTTCGAGGAGTCAGTAATTCTATTACTTAGCAAGTACTACAGAAGGCTAACTCTGCTTTTCAAAACTGACTGTAAAAGACTGCAGTAAAGTCATCATTTTCCAAAGGATCGTCAATGTAAGATGCCAGAAGCATTTGGACATCTATAAACTAAGATGTTACACTAAAGTGTGTAAACCTACACGACCAAACTCTAGGAAAGAAAAATTGTATTTCCCAGAAACAAAATCAATAGGAGTTAGTTTGCAAAAATTATAAAATGTAATGATCTTTAATATTTAAATATCTGTCCCATTCCTACCTCTACCTGAACAAATTACTCGTAACAGGTAGACAAAGATGTGCTTGTTTTACAAAAATTCTGAAAGCACTGCACAGGCACTCACGCCTACTGGATTTAACATTCTTGCTTCTGAAGTTTAGAAACACCTCTCTTAAAGGGTGAATCTAAATCTAGCCTATTAAATTAGCAATTAAAAGAAAAAAATAGTTCAATGAAGTAAGAGGAGATTTTAAGTTCTAGATGACTCTAGAAATGGAACAAATGTTATGGAAGATAACTCAGCTGTTAAGTTCTCTCTGCTGACTTACAGTGGGAACACTAATTTGAGTATCTTTTCTATATCCAGCTGTCAATGTCCATGATTTTAATCAAAGCCTGATTATTCTTGGACTTTTATATACTTTCAAATTTCTGTTATACTGGCTTGCATTCCAATATTAACAGGAAGGAGAAAAGGAAAAACTGACAAATTTTGTAGAAACCTTCCATCACTTTCTCAGAAACAGGCTAGAAAGATAAAAAAAGACCTACTTCTTCAGCTCATTTTTCTAGGAGGAAAAATGTTTGTTCTGTCAGTGGGAACACAAAAGGCAGCAAGAGCTAGGTGTGTTATATTAGCCTACTGTAACAAAATCCAAGTAAGAAAAAAAATTTGCTAATGTAAATATAAACAATATAGGAAAGAAAATGCTCTTAACAGATATCATGGAGTTTTACCAGACTAGAATGGTTTATATATTTTCAAAATAATTTAGAAATATTGTCAATTACTGTAAGGATTCTGAACCTGCAACAGAAAAACAGTGTAATACAGTCCTTCCAGAAACCCTAGAGTACTTGAATGAATTAAAAAGCTAGGATATCTACTACACCATTCTTTAAAAAGTGTGAATCTGAACTTGGAGTGGAACCACCCCGTTACAGCTGTAATTACAAGGAACTAGGAACATATCTAATATTACATCTGCTACCCATGCCTAACAGTGAAGCATCTGCCTCAGATTATCCCAAGAGTTAAGAATTTAAGTGTCATTACAGTAGACAGACTAGACTATACAGATGAAAATAGAAATGGCTCACTGTCCCAACTGCACACAAGAGAAGTTCAACCTCTTATGTGCAATTCCTACATCAGCCTTTGGTTATGAACTGCAATTATATGCAATATATCAAATGAAAAGGAAGAGGAGTAGTATGTGATTAATTTGCCTACAAAGTGTAGTAGCCATGTAACATGGAATGTGCACCTAAAAAATGGAAGAAAAAGCAACAAGCAGAAAACTCAGAGATATTTGCTATATTCAAGTAAATTTACAGCTATTTCAGTTCTTAGGCATCCCTTGAAAGGTACTTGATTTATTGTAGTTGCTGACATAAAGAAAAAGGATTGGTAAAGGATATTTAGAACTGAAAGTAACTTCAAGACCAGGGCTGTGAAAGAAAAACACTGGAAAAAAAGTAAACCAGTGGACAACTACCTCGATGTCAGGGGTCTTGGAAAAAAAAAAATCTTCTTTTCCCCCCATCCTCCACTTGTTTTACTAAGTTAAAAAACTCTGGCACCAGCTTTGATCTTTTATCCTAAACACCTCGAAATTGTGGAAGCTCTGAGAAGCTTGGAACACACTGATATTAAATCTTCAGGGAAACTGTCCTTTTGTTACTGCTAATCATAGAACAAGTATGACAGGTCTATTTCTGCAACTGCATTACTCAGAATTAAAAATGAGTAAAGGAATTTGTAGGAGGTTTTACATTTTGTAGGGGTTTTTGTTGTTATTGGCTTTTTTAAAAAACTTCTTTTTTTGTGACAAAGATGCCAAATTAAGGACAAGATTATGTTTCTTTTCAAGATTTGTCTCTAGGCTAGGCTTCTAGTTGAAACAAGACAAATAGCTGGTTACAGACACCGCATTTTTCAAATTAATTACAAAGGAAGATGCCAGCAGCAAGGAAGGTGTGGAAAGATGGAAGAAGACATAAGAAAATCAGAGTAAGTCTTGGAAAGTGACATGTTTTATGTTTAGTCAGCCTTTATTAAAACAGTATTCATTGACTTGGTGCAGAATTTTCTAAAGGTTGGCCTAGTTACTGTCAAATCAGAGAGCAGTGCTCCAAAAACTTAATTCCTTCTCTCTGCAGTAAAAAAGTAAAAAACTAAAGACAACTCTGAAGGTTAGTCTAGCTACAAGACCAGGTGGAAAAAAACTGAAGAAAAGACATTGAAAACAAAAGCTCTGAAAATATCTTTCCTTTTTTGGCACCTGGTCCAGACAGGAAAATACATGAAAGCATGAACTGACAAACAGGAGAAAAATTCCTTACTTAACATTGCCCAGGGCTAAAGGCAGCCGTCAAAAAGTCAATTCACTCCATGTTTAGAAAACACGGATCTTGCATCCTTTCCAAGGCAATTCAAGTATTTGAAAAATGACTGAGTCCCCTTCAGGTTTTTTCACTTCGCAGCAATTTTTTGCTATATACTTTATTTACTGTTTCCATGTAGAAACAAATTGAAATCAAGAATAATGGTATTATTTACCCTCAGCCTTCTTGTACGCTAAAATCCAGGAGCTGGGAATAAAAACATCTTGTTTTCTTCAAAGTACAGGAGTATAAGATGCTAACTTCAATGCAAAAGAAGAAAGCCAAATGTAAGGAAGGATACATTTTCATATTATAACGTTATTCTAAATAGAAAAAAATCCATGAGAAAAGATGGTGAAAGTCTGAATATGGATGAGTAGGTGATCTTGAAGTTTCTTGACAGATGACACTCGCATTGTTCTGGAGTGACAGGTGTTTTAGAAATA